TATCTTAATAGATAATTTTTAAAGATGCTCAGATAAAGACAAAAACAGTTAGTAACATACTTAGTTAAGCAAATTTTATTTGTTTGCTGGAATTCATTGTTTTAGAAAAGATGATACATTGTATTTCTCCGAAAACATGACTTACAATTTATTTCGAAAAGACGTAAAAGTAGAAACTAAATACAAACAAATTAATTATATGTATACTACATATTATTATGATTGAGTTCGGCTGTTTCTCCGTAACGTCAGCATAAGGTTAAATTTTAATTACGGTGACTTGCTTCTTATTATTATGTTTTATTGTAGCGTTCTAAAAATGTAATTTCTCTTCATATTTGCGGTTAAGAAGTTTCATAGTTCCTAAGTTGCCAGGGTCATCCAATAACGGTATGGAGCGGTTGTATATAGGAATGTGGAAGTGCTACGATTATGGGGTAAAAAATCTATTGACAAACACAGCCAACAGAAATTGGTTTAATATATTTTCAAGTTTGTAACTTCGCTAGGTGGCGCAACTGCTATAGTGTTACGGAAAATTGTCGTTTTTTCGAAATTTTGCCAATATAACCTAAGTTGAAAATACACATTTTAGATACACTGGTAAACCCTTCACAAGTTTTGTTTGAACTTTTTTTTTGTTATTTCCAAGGACGCATTTTGAAATTTTGAAATTGTTATAACTTCTAAATGCCTTAATCGATTTTAAGAAACGACGGCGACGGCTCATTTTAAAGAACTATTAATAAAGTTTATATTTATGAATGGGAATAAAAATATTATTTTCCTGCNATTTTGAAATTTTGAAATTGTTATAACTTCTAAATGCCTTAATCGATTTTAAGAAACGACGGCGACGGCTCTTTTTAAAGAACTATTAATAAAATTTATATTTATGAATGGGAATAAAAATATTCTTTTCCTGTGCAACGGTAGACGACGCTAATTAGAAAAATTTTGTAATTGTCTCCGTTTACTAAAAAATTAAATGCAACGATATAGGTTTTTCTTCATGGCTTAATAGACCATTTATTAAGGAAAACAAATACACAAACTGGATGTCGATATATTTTTTCGTTTTGAAGTTATTGCTAAAATAGTGAAATTGTGCTAGAACATTCTCCTTTATTTAGTTCTCTAAATAACATTGACAGCCCAAGCCAAAATTAAACTGTAAAACTATACCAAACTTTAAGAAAAGTACTTGCTATATTTAGATTTTTTTTGTATCTGCAATATTTCATTTTTTTATTAATTCCAAATATCTGAGTATTTATAAAGATTATTGTTTCCATAACAAGGCAGGCTATGCCCTATAAAAATAGACAACTGCAAAATTATGTCAAATTAAATGTGATAGCTCTTGCTACGTGCAAAATTAGTGTTATTTGTGTTGGAAAAGTGCTTGTGAACAAGGAAAATGCCTTTTATGAATGTCGAAGTGTATATGTTGGCAGTTTATTTTCAATATTTGAAAAATGCCGTTATAGCTTCAACAGAAACGCTTTGCGTTAAGCTATGATTTGTTAGAGCTGTATGCGACGCAAACCAGACAGTCAGTTAGTTGTGCGCGTCGGACTTACGGACTTGTAGTCCAGGCAAGTTAGACCAAAATCACCCAGAATACGGACATTTTTTTTCTGATGAACCGATCGAGTTGCGGTTTACGGCATTGTCTTCGGAAAAATATCAGGAAAAAAGTCCATCTATTACACTTTGGGGCTGGATCGAAACTGCATTGCGGGTGCATAAACTGCATCTTGGAGTGCATCAATTTTTCCAATTTTTTTAAAAACGGTAAAAATTGACTAAAAGTTGTAGAAATTTGTGTGCACGGGTTTTCGGGGTCGGACATTCCGAATCTGACCCTCAAAAATATGCCCGACGGCCCTGGGCCCCCCCAGGGGGGCAATCGGGGGGCCTCCTGTAAAACATCGAATAGCTGAGTAATTGCCTTCTAAATTTCTACTCGGGGGTTTTTGGGGTCGGGGATTCCGAATCTGACACTGGAAAATATCCATTAATCTTAGCTTGTCTATCACTGAGAAAAATTGTCGTAGAATTGGAGAAATCCTGGACAATCCGTTCCCAAGAGACACATTTCGTTAAATCAAACAAAGAAACATTCCTTAAAACGGAAGAATATTTCGTGGATCATGGATTTTCAAAAGAATCTCTTGGGCCCGTGCGACTGCGGATAATGCATAACAATTAGGCGACAAAATCCGATTATCGACAATGCAGATCTTGTGGGTGCAGGAAGCATGGAATTACATGCACAATTGCATGTACAAATTGTTTTGGAACCAACTGTTCCAATCCTGAAATAGTCGAAAATGTAATAGATGATAGTGATGGAGACAGTGATGACAGTACTGATGATGAAAATTGTGATTGATAGTGAAAGTGTTAGATAAACATATGATAGTAGTTGTCTCACTAATTTCCTTGCAAATAAAAAGAAAATTGGTCCTCAGAATAAAAGGGATTCTTTTCGACTCATTAATTTCCTTAGTTAGTTCTTCTTACCCTTCTTGTCTAATATCTGTAAATTTATGTGTGTTACAATGTAAAGATCATCAAGATCATGGTTGGTAAGCAGGTGGAGCAGTTTTATTGCAAAAATCTGATGTGCCTTTCGATGTTTTCCAGAAAGCCCACCCCACGGTCGTCGGGCATACTTTTCAGTGTCAGAATCGGAATCCCCGACCCCAAAAACCCCCGAGTGGAAATTTAGAAGACAATTACTCAGCTATTCAATGTTTTACGGAAGCCCCCCCCCTTGACCCCCTGGGGGGGGGGGCAGGGCTGTCGGGCATATTTTTCAGGGTCAGATTCGGAATCTCCGGCCCTGAAAACCCGTGCACACAAATTTCTACAACTTTTAGTAAATTTTTACCATTTTTAGAACATTCAGAAAAATTGATGCACTTTATGCACCCGAAATGCAGTTTCGATCCAGTCCCAAAGTGTAATAGATAGACTTTTTTCCTGATATTTTTCCGAAGATAATGCCGAAAACCGCAACTCGATCGGTTCATCAGAAAAAAATGTCTGATTTATTGTCTAACTTGCCTGGTCTATTGTTAGATTCTGCTCAGGTGGACTCGCGGTAGGCAGAAAATTTTGTGCTTCGTCAGTTCAGTCGAAATCAAATTTGATTTGATTTCAACGCAGTGGTTCAGTTGAGCTCACAGCATACAGTGCTAAAAAGCGTTTATTTTTAAGGAATTTTAAAATGGCAACCAAGTTTTCACCAGAGGAAGACGAGAAATTAATTGATCTCGTACGAGAACATCCCCCATTGTATACCGTTCCTGCCAGATGTCGACAACGACGACGATTAATTAAATTCAAAAGAAGATCTTTTTCATGTTCTTCTTCCTCAATAAGTATTGTCACCAAAGAATGTTCAGCCATTGTCATGATAAAAATAAATTTTGCCACAGTAATAATAAATATTTTCGTCTGCACTTACCAGCATACAATAAGAAGTACTAAATCTAATAAAACACTCTCCCTTCAAAACCGATAAAGTTGAACGCTACAGATTATGCTAACAGCGTATGTCGCCTGCGACGCACAGTTCTAACAAACCAAAGCTTTACACTCCTAGAATACGCCACTCTAGAGAAGTGTCAGTGTTTAGCCAGACGCCACTACATCCTTTAAGAAGACATCGCCGTGCAAGAACGGAAGATAATATCATTAATATGTTGGTTTGTGTCTATGTACAACCCCAACCAAATAAGTGTTAGGAAATTGGTTAGAGACCTGGGAATTTCATATGGCACACAAGTACTTTTCTCACACAGATGACACTAATTTTGCACTACGCAAGAGCTGTCACATATTGTTTAACCTAATTTTTCATTTGTATATTTTCATAGGACATAGCCTACCGCGTTATGGAAACAATAATAATTATAAAGAATTAATAAAAAAATTAAACTAATTGTAAATAAAGGAGGATGTTCTAGAACAACTTCACTATTTTAGCAATAATTTGGAAACGAAACTATATATAAATAAATATAAATTTTATCAATATGTAGTTCTTTAAGATGGGTAGTCGTTTCTTGAAATCGATTAAGGCATTTAGAAGTTATGACAGTTTAAAAATTTCAAGATGGCTTCCTTCATACTGGCATTGCTATGGTAATAACAAAAAAAAGTTCTTACAAAACTTATGTTATAAAGTGTTTAAAAGTGTATTTTCAACTTGGGTTATTATACAAGGTGTTAACGAAATAAGTACTCAAAATTGGAGAGTTTTTAAAACATGTCGAAATACGATGAAAACCTTAGTAGAGTTTTTGTCAGTGGCGGCCCCTAAGGGAGATACAGTCCCTTGAAGGGGGTAACTCAGGAAACAGTTTTTATTTCATAACTTCAAAGCGGTTTAATATTAAATCACGAAATTTTGGGGTTGTATTACTATTTATATGGTTAATAATCAGTATAATATACAAATCAAAATTTGCTACAGGAGCCTAAGAAAATGCGGGATCATGGGGCAAATTTTACAATTTCTTTTCTATACGCAATTTTTTCTACTTCCTGAACCGAAAATATGAAAATCTATAATATTTTGCATAAAAAAGGTACTCTTGTCAGATTTTAATAGTATGAGCCGTTTTCTAGTAAAATCCATTTCAATAATTCATTACTGACTCAAACTTCCTACTGATAAATGTACCTATCAAATTGTGCCGTGAGAATATTATTATTTTTATTTAATTTTCCTTTTGTACTATTATTATTGTTATTCTAGTTGTTATGTAACTCTTACTAAATCAGGGTTTAATATCACAGTTAAGTAGTAGTAGTAGTTTTGTAGTAAACAGTAACATTAAAAATTTTGAATAATATTCCTCTGTATCTAAACAAATAGCCCTATAATAATTTAGTTTATCTACGACTATTTAATAATAGACGCATTATAATTGTGATAGTAAGTACATAATGAAACTCATATTACACACCCGTGAAATATGAGTTTCATATTCCACAGGTGTGGAATATGAATTTTTATACGTATCCCTTATAGCTTCTGACCGCGCTACAAAATAGAATCGAGCTTGCTTGAATTGTTGTTACTATCGTAACTAATGTAATTGATTTGACAACACTTCGCAAAATAAAACATTTTTGACTTTTGCAGTAATTTTGCAGTTTAATTCTGACAGTGAAAATGAAATTCGATGCACCCCTCCTGAAATTCGTGAAGCCGCGAAATTAGCATCATTGGAATTACTTCCAGAGAAATCACGAAAAAATTACACAATTGTATATAACAGCTTTATGGACTGGCGACTAAAAATTGGCACAAATTCGTTTTCCGAAGACACTTTGTTGGTATATTTCAAGGAATTGACAAAAAAATGTAAATCGTCTACATTGTGGAGCCATTATTCCATGCTTAAGAGCACACTTAACCTTAAACATAATATGAATATAGAATCTTACGCAAAAGTTCGAGCTTTATTAAAAAGGCAGTCAGAAGGCTACCAACCCAAGAAATCAAAGGCATTTACTGGAGATGAAATATACAAATTTATAACTGAAGCACCGGATACTAAATACCTAGCCACGAAGGTAAAAATATAAGTTAGAATTTAACTAAATAATACTAAGGTTTTTTGTTTTTTGTTCTTATAGGTTGCATTAATAATGGGAGTGATGGGAGCTTGCCGCTCAAATGAGTTATATGAAATGAAAACAAAGGATCTGCAATTTTTTGAAGGTTGCATAAACGTATCGGTTCCAATTACGAAGACAAAAGTTCCCAGAAATTTTACTGTTACCGGAGATTTTTATAATATCGTCAAAAAATATTCAGAGCTCAGACCATCGGATGTATCAAGTTCTTTCTTCCTAAATTTTCAAAATGGGAAATGCACAAAACAAGTTATTGGTATAAATAAATTTGGAAGAATGGGTAAAGAAATAGCAGAATTTTTGAAACTACCGGATCCAGTAAAATACACAGGACATTGCCTTCGACGATCTTCTGCCACTTTGTATGCTGATGGAGGGGCCAATATGACTGCCCTTAAACGCCATGGGGGATGGAAGTCAGCCTCTGTGGCTGAAGGTTATATTGCTGACTCTAAAAAAAATAAAATGGATGCCGCCAATAAAATTTTGCACCAAATCAATCCAAATTCTATCAGTATTTCGAATGCAAATTCATGTCCATCTACATATGCTGATGGTGTCAGCAATTTTACTATTGATAATTTTGCCATTACCAATAAGACCAGTGATGTAAATATTAATACTACGAAAACACCTCCAACCATACATTTTAATAATTGTCATAACCTTACAATTAATTTTATAAATAAATAAACTTTAGTTGCCCTAGTAACAGCAATCCAATCATACGCTAATTTTAAATAATTCATTATAAAAATTTCTAATTTTAAATAAATGTTTCCCAATCTACAAATTATTTTTTTTTTAAACAATATGATGAGTGAGTATTTGCCTCGCGTATAATGGCTATATTACACTCGCCTACGGCTCGTGTAATATAGCCTACATTATACGCTCGTTAAATAATATACTATTATATTTATTACAGTATCTAAATTCAAATTTCTTAGATTGGAATATTGAGTAGATAATCTAATCAGTAATTGACATATACTTGACATCTCTGTTATGTGTCATAAATAAGTAGTAATTTTCTCATGGCGCAATTTGATATATTTATTTTCAGCAGAAATTTAAATTTAAGAAAACGGCTCATGCTATTGAAATCTAACAAGAGTACCTTATTCATGCAAAATATGATAAATTTAAGAAGTAGAAAAAATTGCGTACAAAGAAAAAATTGTAAAATTTGCCCTATGGTCCCGGATTTTCTTACGCCCCTGTACCAAATTTTGATTTGTATATTATGCCGATTATTAAGCATATAAATGGTAATACAACCCCAAAATTTCTTGATTTAATATTAAACCGTTTTGATGATATGCAATAAAAACTGTTTCCTGAGTTACCCCTTCAAGGGGCTGTATCTCCCTTGGGCCCCCCACTGACAAAAACGCTACGAAGGTTTTCATCATATTTCGACATGTTTTACATACCCTCCAATTTTGAGTACTTATTTCGTTAACACCTTGTATAAGCAAAATTTCGAAAAAACGACGATTTTCTGTAACACTATAGCAGTTGCGCCATCTAGGGATGAAGTTACAAACTTGAAAATATTTTAAATCAATTTCTTTTGGCCGCATTTGTTAATAGATTATTTACCCCATAATCGTAGCATGTCTAGTTTCCTATATACATCCACTCCGTACCGTTAATGGATCACCCTGCATATCATTTGCAGCATAATTTAGTAACGATTGGATTACTCATCTAATCAGTTACGTGTTTCTCTTATCCCGTCAGTATCATTATTGTTAGCAAAGGTGTAAAAATATTAGTTGTTTAACCACAGCTCTGTTTATAGTGTGTACGCGACGCTCAAAATGGCAACGAATGGTAATCCACCTATTTAAGTGATCGAAAAATTGATTTATACCTTACCGTTTACAGATGTCGAAGAGACCGAACAGATAATACCAAACGAGGAGGTGGAAAAAGTTAATGAACCAGTTAGCTATTTATTCATAGTACTTTTCTATTTTCTGGGAGCCACGTGTTTTATACCAAACAACTTCTATGTGACAGCAAATGAGGTATGCTTCATTGAACACCTGATATACAGACGCTGTTTTTTTGCTGACAAAATATTATACAAGTTGCTACAGTTATGTTGCGAGTAACTTTTAGGGTTGATTCCTTCCGTTAAAATAAACAAAAATATAATTCGCATTTATTTGAATGAAAGCAGTGACTAACAATTCTTGTTATAGTCACTGATGAAAGGTAGACATGCGAATCTATATAATTGCCTACCTCTAGTTATCGATAAATTAGAGTAATACAACTGTTATCTATGATAATAACATTTGGATATTTTCTCGTAAACCGTACATTTTACGAAAAAAAAAGTTTTAATTGGATATGGTCGATTCAAAGTGCAAGTCAAATAAGTTTTTTTGATTCTGACGCTAATGGTTAGTTTATTTTTCATATTTTACATGACTTCGAAGTATATATGTGCAATTAATTATTTATCAAAAAAAAAAATATGTTTCTCGCTTAATCTTAAAATGCCACTTTTGTCCTTTTTTCCGATAACTTTTCCTATCAAAAAAAGTTTCAGATAAAAGTTGTAGGATATCATAAAACCAATATGCTGATTGCTCCGATTTGACTTTGACCTCAAGAATCTATTGATACAAAAATAAGCTTGAAAATATTAAATAGCACAGAGCATCGAGTTTTGCATCTGACCACGGAATCAGAAAATGTTTCTAGTATGTTCTTGCAAGGTCATTTGAAAGTCAAGCTTACTTTTCTCTGGACAACTCGTCAAAATCATTTTAAGCATAATTTGTAGGGATTTAAATGATAAATTGGATGGTGAACTTGATTTTAACCTGAAGCTAATTAAAAAATAACTAGCCATTTCCCCGTTACCACCCCGATACACCTCCTTCTGGGAGTTGAAATGTCAATTCTCATATAAAGTTGAGTAGGGTGTGTATTTTCTGGGCCACTAAGAATGAAGAAGACTACCCAAAATGAATTAGACCCCTCGTTACCCCATAGCGTCACTTTACCACTACCATACACCCCTTTCTGAGGGTTGAAGTGTCAATTTTCATACAAAGTCGAGTGGGTTGTGTATGCCTACGTTTTCTAGGCTGCTGAAAACAAAGAAGACTACCGAAAATGAATCCAACCCCCTCGTCAACCTTCAGCACCCTTTACCCCCCACATTTGTTTTCAGCAGCCTGGAAAACGTAGGCATACACAACCCACTCGACTTTGTATGAAAATTAACACTTCAACTTCCCACCCCTTGTTTGAGGTGGTAAAGTGACGCGGGGGGTAACGAGGGTGGTCTTATTCATTTTTGGTAGACTTCTTCGTTCTTAGTGGCCCAGAAAACAAAGGAATACTCACCCTAGTCGACTGTATGGAAATTGACATTTTAACTCCCAGAAAGGGATGTACAGGGGTGGTAAAGAGACGCTAGGGGGAAACGAGGGGGTCTAATTCATTTTTGATTGTCTGTTTCGTTCTTAGTGGCGGTAACGGGGAAATGGCTAGTTAATTTTTTTTATGGTCATATTCGGTTTCAGCGACCCAAAAACGGAGGGGTAGGGGGGTCTACCCTCTGGGTCTTGACATTTTTTTGTGTGTACCTATGTTATTAATCTAACAATGTGCCAAATTCTAAAGAGATCATATTAATAGTTTCAGTCAAATGCGTCTATTAAATTCTATTACTTTTATATCCATTATTTTTATGACCTTTTGACCTTCAAATGATCAAATGATCTTGCAAAAATTCTCTGATCCCAAAGTCCAACATAAAATTTGGTGTTATTTGCTGGCATAAAAAATAGCGTAATCCATTCGATATTAAGTTGACCTTAGTTTGACCTGACAACTTGTGGTATTGGTCAAATCCATGGGCATCATCTAAAAATAATTTTGTCAAATCACCAGCAAAATTTGTCGCTCTTTCAATTGATGGCATAAAAAATAGAGTATTCCATTTAATATTTTCAAATTGACCTTGATTTCACCTTGAAACTTAATGTCAGCCTTAAATCCATGGTCAGCGGCATATTGATTTTTTGATATCTTGCAACATTTATGTGAAACTTTTTTTGATAGATTTCAATCCTGAAAAGGAGGAAACGGGTTTTTTTAGGACACAATATATTTTTTTCGTTTATCTAAAAAGTTATGTCGATTTAGTCATTTATATCCTCTATCATCGTTATATTTATAAACAAGCTGAATCATCTACGGGATTATCTATAAATCTCCTTTATTGTGATTCACTAATTTGCGGTTAAGATATTTTAATGGTACATAATGTAGACATACGTAAAAAATGCTGTATGGTCAGATATACAATTAGAATAAGAAGATATATCAGATAAAACAGTTTTTAAATAAAAAACACGCTATTTTATTTCACAGAAAATGATAAAACAATGCATTAAATATACTTCGGTATTAGTCATTCATTAGTTCAACTTAATCTCTTCACAGTTGATGAACTTAAATCACTATTCCGAATTATAGCGTCGAAACCTTCATTATTTGTAAAATCTCACTCAACAATGAAAACGCGTTGTTCGTTACTGTAGCGCTCAGTTGTTTATAACCCTGAACTATCAGCGGTCACGCTGTTTTTTTTTTTCGGTTGCCAATACTTTACCGTAAATATGGCGCAAAATTCAAACCTTCAAAGCGTGAATTTTGGGACAGAAGTATCAGTAATAAACTTTATTTTAGCGTATGGTAAATAAAATCGAGCAGAAGCCTTTAGAATAACAGGGAACCGTAGTAAATAATGAAAAATATTATTGCATTAGCAATACTTCCTCATAGTACATGTTTTTTTTCATTTCAAATAAACTACTACTACAATTGCAGTATTACAAGTTACAAGCAGTGCCGTACTGTACATTTTCTGCGCAGTATATATTAGACAAGGAAGAAATTTCAAGAGTTGTGAAAAATTAATTCAAACAAATATTTTAACGATTTAGTATTATAATATACAGGGTGGCCCAATTAAAACAGTCCACCTGAAATATTTTCAATGCAACAGGTTTTTCCGGAAAACCCTGAAACAGATCGATTTTGCTTTCAAGGGGAACATCTTTTGATCATAAATTCATGGATGTAGGGTCATCTAAACGGGGTGGCAACCCCTTCAAAAATCTTAAATGGCACGGGGGGTTAAGTGGCACATCATTTTAAAGGTATTTCATTTCTCTTCATAAACATGCTGAAATTTTTTTGTTCTGCTTTAAAATTAATGTAAAAAACCTGTTGGAACTGTCGGTGGAATAAATCGAAAAAAAGACTTAAAATAGTAATAAAAAAACTCAGAGGATAATGAAATTGTAAAAAATTAGGTTTATCATCGAAGTCTTGATAAGGTGATGGGTTTTATTAGAATTTTACATGTAGTTTTGCTCCGATTTTACATCGATCAGAATTGTCTAGATATTGAAATCCATTGTTTTTTTATTATTCACTATTTTGAAGCAAACGATTCGAATTATCATGGCTTACACCACTGCAGAGGGAATTGAAATTGTCACTCTCTATTTTCGAAATAATGAAATGACCTGGGAAACTGCAAGAATTTTTAATGAAAGGCATCCCAGTTCCGGTAAGAATCTCAGTTATCCCTACGTAATAAATTTAATATCTAAATTCATGAAGACTGGATCCGTTGCTAACAAAAAACATGAAAGGCAACACACTGTTACTGACAAGGTCGCACAGGTTGCAATTTTGAGACATGTTGAACTGGATGCCACTTTAAGCGCCAGAAAATTAGAGGCAACTTCAGGAATTCCACGTAGTAGTCTTCAGAGGATCTTGAAAAAGCATCAGTTTCGTCCGTATATTCATCTCATGCAAGAGCTCAATGAAGATGATCCAGATCGCCGTATACAATTTTGTGAACAGTTGAGTGAAAAAATGTTGATCAATCCCAATTTTTTATATTGTACATGCTTTTCTGACGATTGCAGATTCTTTCTTAAAGGTTACGTCAACAGACATAATTGCAGAAGAACACTTTGTAAAGGTTTTAGTAATCTTCCATAATCGTGAATCAAATTTGAAATAATTTGGAAGAAAACAAAAAGAAAAAGTAGGAGCGAAAATTACTATTGCACTATTGCAAATACAGTAGCGACATTCCTTTAACCTGAGAATGTTTTGAACAGAGTTTTTACTAAGTTTTTTCATCGTTTTGATCATCAAATCAGCCATCAAAGCAACACACACTGACAGGGTGATTTCACTTTAGATACAAAAATTACAGGACTAGATTCATTACCAAAAAGTAAGTATAAACTTTTTTCCTGTGGAAGTGGGTATTCGAGATACAAGGTGTTAAAGTTTACAAAAAAAAGTATTTTTTTCTGCCATATCTTCATACTGCGCTGACGGAATTGAATGAAATTTACTAAAGCCTGATTTACGAGCGAGTAAAAGCAAATATTTCTTTATAAATGACCGAGCTGGCTGTTTCTTGATGTATTTTCGTAAACTGAATGTGAATCCGTGGTTAAAATAGCTCTATCATCCGTCAGTCTTCAGAAATCGGTGAGGCACCCACTGAAGAACAGCGATTGCGACACGTACTGCTTTAGCGACATCTTATGTTTTTACGCATGCTGAACACTTATCCGTCATCAGCATATCTGCAGCATTTCTCAGTCTTCAGAAAATAGTTGAAGCACCTTCAGAAAACTTGACTTGATGGTCATCGAGCACGTGGATTCGATAACTTCAGAAGGCTGTAGCTTCAAAACAGTAGTTTTTTCGACCTAGGTCCCATGGACTTTTTTAATAGACACACTGAGGATTATCATTCGGTAAAGTTTCGAATCATTCGACCGGAACCAGTTTTCCATAAGGATAGTTGCGGGGTTTTTTAAAAAAGTTAACGTTTATTGGTGCACCGTAACTTACAATCAAATTATTGATCCATATTACCAAACCATAATCGTAATTTAGACGCAAATTATTACTTGACAATTTTAAATGAATAGGTACTTCTTGCCACAATAGGATAAAGAAAATTTAGAATTTAGACGCAATATAATATTCCAATATGATGTTTGTACGTCACATAGTATTCATATATTTAAAAATTTTTAAAATTTCGCGCATAAGATTTGAGCTATACATATAATAAGATCGCGTTACTCTTGAGGTAATTTTGGTTTTTCCAATTTTGTGAACGCCCCGTATAAATTTTTAGTTTTCTGAAACTGGCGACTTTTTGTCGAAAAATGAAAAATATTTTTTTTTACAAGAGTAATTAAGCCAATCCGGAGATACACTGTATATTTGTTTAAAATTCATGCAAAAATTGATTCTTTTGTCTGCATTATTAGTTAGTAAGTTTTACGATGATCTTGTTTTAGTATTTTAGTTTATTCATTCCTGATGAACCTGCTGAAATTGTGGCAAAGATTAGAGGAGAATTGTAGGTAATCCCCTTAGAGAAAATCATGTCATGATAAGTTCCTCTATAAATAGCCTGATCAGAAGATGTTAAAAGTGTATTGATGCGGAAGGACTTCGTTTTGAACAATTGTAGTAGGTCTCATTACTTAATTACTTAGTCGACCTATTTACTAATGTTACTTTATTTAGTTTGATATTTTTTCCAGAAATAAAATTATTTCTACAAAAAACCGCCAGTGGCATATTCTTTTCTTGGGAATAGTTGGCGGACGTCACTGGTTAAAACCAGGAGGATTTCATCAAATAAAAGGATTAATTTATTAGGAAAATTTAATAAAACAAGCCAAAATATCTCCTAAACGGCTTCAACTATTAAAAAACACCAAGAAATATTTTTCATTCAATTAACGTAGTGGTACTTGAATATAACATTATTTCTCTAAAAAATCGCCAGTGGCGTATTTTTTATTGGAAAAATGGGGCGGCATTGCATTCAACAAAAGGTCTAAAATAAGTGAATACGCTATAGTAAATTTCATTCAATTCCGTCAGCGCATTATGAAGATGTGACACAAAATATCATTCTTTTTTGTAAACTTTAACACCCTGTATCTCGAATCCCCCAAGAAAATGGTTTATAACTTTACTAATTTTTTGGTAATGGATCTATTCCTGCAGTTTCTGTATTTAAAGTGAAATCACCCTGTATACTATCTCAAATTTTATTTTACTTACAATATTTTTATGTTCACTTAAATATTTACCTAAATGTATGAAATGCTGAAGATGAAAAAATTGCGAAATACTCACACTGCCATCATAACTAGTAATAATATAATATAATCCGTAGAATCCGCCTGAGGATTGTAAAAATTGTGCATCATGCACAAAATTGCGAAAGTAACATAAAATCAGATGCGATTATTTGCCAGTTGTAATCAGTAATGTGGAAATTAACTTAATTTTTCATGTTTACGCATTTCCTAAGCTTCCTAGATTATTAAATTTTATAAATTCCAGACATTTAATCTGTGTATTGAGATTCTGAGGTTTTAAGTCATGCTTATTAAGGTTACATAGCCAGAGATTGAGAGAAGAGAACTATGATCACTGTTAATCCATATATACAGCGTGGTAAAAAAGTTCTGCATAAAATTCATATTTTCGTTAAACAATTTTTTTTTTCGAAAAACGGTGAGACCCGTCGATTTTTATTTGATCCAGGTCACCTTTTTATGTGGAAAAATTTTTTTTTTCGATAATCCACTTACGGCAGCGATGACATAATTTTTTTTTAAATGACAACGCATATTTTTTTCGTTCGAAATTGATGACAGTGATAATTATCTAAACAACGGTGTGAAAATTTCGATGTCTTACATAACAATTTTTTTTAGAAAAATGCACCTTAAGTTCTTATAAGTGATAATTGTCTACTTACACTATTAATGGCTCCGAAAAGGACAAAGTTGACAAAATTACATTTCAAACGAGTAAAATTACACTAATGTTTGTGTAAGTCTAGCGAAATTGTTCGAATTGCCCACCCTGTACCATTTGGCATTGTCCTAAGCGTGTGTAAACGCCGTCTACACTTCGTTCAAGCATTCCCGGGTCGATTTGATTTATTTCAAAACGAATACGGTTTTTAAGTTCTTCCAAATCACCTGGTCTGTTTGTGTACACACGCGATTTCAAATAGCCCCACAAAAAAAAGTCTAGAGGTGTTAAATCAGGCGAACGCGGAGGCCACTCGATTGTTCCGCGTCGCCCGATCCACCGGCCAGTAAACGTAAATCAAATCGACCCGGGAATGCTTGAACGAAGTGTAGACGGCGTTTACACACGCTTAGGACAATGCCAAATGGTACAGGGTGGGCAATTCGAACAATTTCGCTAGACTTACACAAACATTAGTGTAATTTTACTCGTTTGAAATGTAATTTTGTCAACTTTGTCCTTTTCGGAGCCATTAATAGTGTAAGTAGACAATTATCACTTATAAGAACTTAAGGTGCATTTTTCTAAAAAAAATTGTTATGTAAGACATCGAAATTTTCACACCGTTGTTTAGATAATTATCACTGTCATCAATTTCGAACGAAAAAAATATGCGTTGTCATTTAAAAAAAAATTATGTCATCGCTGCCGTAAGTGGATTATCGAAAAAAAAATTTTCCACATAACAAGGTGCCCTGGATCAAATAAAAATCGACGGGTCTCACCGTTTCTCGAAAAAAAAATTGTGTAACGAAATATGAATTTTATGCAGAACTTTTTTACCACGCTGTATAATTTTAATCCATAATTCTCATGATTTTAGTACTGGATGTTCAAATTTAGGGATCCCCATATACCGTTTAATAATTCGGATACACAAAAAACAACTCTGCAAAAGAAGTTCACAGCCTACACGAATATGGTTGGAAGTATCGGCATGATTCTCTTCTTATTCATAACATTTGCCATTTCAAAGAAAGTTTCGCTTCAGAAGAGAATCGTGGGGGGAATGTTTTTGTTGCTGGTGCTGTTTTGCATAACTTTGCTCTTCGTATTCGTAAATACTGATTCGTGTAAGCTTTTTTGCACCATAGCCACTACTACTAAAGCTTATCTTCGTTTGTGTTTTAGGGCAGATAGGATTTTTTGTTATTGCTGTGGGAATTTCTGGACTTTTCAGTGGTAAGTTAAAAGCGGTTTCTCCGTTATACATACGAGTATATATACATATACAGTACGCGCCTAAAGTATGGAATAAATTCAGTAAAAACGAACCAAATATTTTTTGTGAAAAATCCTCAAACAGGTCGATTTTTAATTTAAAAAATACATATTTTAGCATAAAAGGCGATTTTCAACCGTCATTTGTTTTCGAGTAATGACGTTATCGACATTTTTTTTAAATATCAACCCCCTATTTTTTTCTTGATTCTGAAAGATCGTTTCATTGTCGATACGACAGTATTAAAATGTTACCATCTCACATAGGAAAGTTTTCGAGTAAATGACGATTGAATGTTAGAAAACGTAAATTTTATTCATTAAAACAATAATAACAATTCCTATGTCAAGCAAATACAATTCATTAAGTTTTCTACCTAAATTAAGTGTACATTACTACTACAAAATTACTACAAGCGCTGGAACAAGGTCATTTTGCAAAAACTCTAAATATCTTTCTCCTGTAAGGGTTCCTTCAAAGAAGAAAGGCCATACTTTTCTGTTGTCAGGTATTCTAGCCCACACATTTAATTTCTGTGGGTGTTGGGTATGTGTCTCTGCCATCCAATGAGGATTTTCCCGACTCCAATACCTGCAAGTTTGACGGTTCACTGTACCATTGAGACAAAACGTGGCTTCGTCTGAAAAAAGTATTTGCCGGTGTAAATCTCTATTTACTACTACATAAATTCATCATAATTTCACAAAAGTATAAGTGGCAGTCGTGATCGTCTTCATTGAGTTCCTGCACAAGTTGAATTTTGTAAGGATGATATTTTTCCTCCCTCAGGATACGTAGTACTGTGGTCTGACTAATTTAATTGTTTAATGTAACCAATCATGAAGTATTATGAGGATTATTTACCATACTTATCAAAATGTTCTGTTTGTGATCTTCACTAACGCTTGGACGTCCAGGTTTTGGAATATCTACAACATTGCCAGTTTCTCTAAATTTAGATTCTATCTTACTGACTGTTGATTGGCTGATACGGCGATCTGGATGTTTTTCATTAAATATATCGCAAACTTCCTACTGCGTTCTAGTCTTATTCCCGCATCCGATGAGAATTAAAATTTCAATTCTTTGTGTGACAGTTAAATGTGCCATAATACTTTAAATTCAACAATAATTTTTATATCGCTTACAATACTTATAAATTCGGTATGACAGTGACAGTTTGTAAAGATTTACACCTACGTGATCCATAAAAAACTTCAGGTATTTCGAAAAACTAAATTTGATAACGTTTTTGCTTTATTTTAATTGATTTGGGTTTTCTAACATTCAATAGTCATTTACTCGAAAACTTTCCTATGTAAGTTGGTAACATTTTAATACTGTCGGATCGACAATGAAACGATCTTTTAGAATCAGGAAAAAAATAGGGGGTTGCTATTTAAAAAAAATGTCGATGACGTCATTACTCGAAAACAAATGACGGTTGAAAATCGCCTTTTATACTAAAATATGTATTTTTTAAATTAAAAATCGACCTGTCCGAGGATTTTTCTCAAAAAGAATTTGTTTCGTTTTTACTGAATTTATTCCATATTTTTTAGGCGCGTACTGTATATTAGATTTTCATTATTATTTGCTTAATCCAAAACGGAAAGAGGTGGACTCTACAAACTCATACATTGTTAGGACACTATTTTGCAATTTTTACACGAGGAATTGGATATACATACTTCAAATTTAATGAATAATTAACTTGAAGAATGTTATGTAGCTATAATCAGCGGTTTGGGTTCAAAAAATATTTTTTAAGTGTATACATTATTTTGCCACCCATATTACAATACTTAACAAAGTGCTAGTAGTCATTGATTTTGTAGGTTGACTGTAATTTCAGTTTGATCTTTAAATCATTGTACCTGCCAATTCTGTTTTATTAGAAGCGGAATAATAAATATTCACAATGATCGTGTGTATGCTCAAAAAAATTTACATGCTGCCAAAGTGAAATATGTATTATCTGCATGAATTTCGCAACAATTTTTGGTTTGGGATCATTGATAGCATTACTATTGGCCCTGTTAATCTAACCAATAGACTGATTGGGGAATTTTAGTTAGAATGTTTGCAAAACGCGAGTTATTGGAAGATGTGCCGTTATTACTCAGAGCTGACATGTGGTTTATGCATGATGGCGCTCCATCACATTTCACTGTAAATGTCGAGCAGTATCTAAACCAAAAATTCCCTCGTCGATGAATCGGTAGAGGGGATAATATTCCAGTTAAATGGCCTGTACGTTCACCAAACTTAATACCTTACGGCTATTATCTTTAGGGCACTCTGAAAACAACAATGTATGCTTCCACATCTAACATTGAAATAGAGTTGTGGAGGCACATCCAAAATGCCATAAATGTTTTAAAAAATAGCCCTTAAAAACTGCAAAAGATATCCCTTTTCTTCGTCGAATTAACCTTTGTTGTAGATCATTTTGAACAGTTTTTATAATAAGTTGTACTAAATTTAATAAGCCCAACTTTATTACTTTTATCTCCAGCATTTTTTATTGTATTTGATTGTTTTTACGAATTATTTCAATAAAATTAGGCACGTTGTAAATAACTCTAATTCGTTGTATGTGTGTATCCATATCGAAAAATTAATTAACATGTGTTATATTTTATCATAGGAAACACTCATTAAGAATTGGCAGGTACAATGGCTTAAAGATCGAACTGAAATTATAGTCAACCTATAAAATTAGTGACTACTATATATCACTTTGTTAAGTATTGTAATATGGCATTTTTCAAATTTTATTGCCTGAATGTTGCTTGGAAAATATGATCGGCAATATAAATCGCCGAATTTAAGCACAGGCAATATCGCATTGCTTCAGTGTGCGGAACAACATTAATTTGATCTTTAGTGTATTGTGAATAAGTGATAAAATCGTGTATTGCTAGTTGCGTATTGCTTATTGCCCGTTGTTCCAATGTGCGATCCCGCTTAGACTCTGCACGTGTACTAAGCCTAGTGATAACTGATAACAGTGATAACACATAAGCCTCAGATAATAAAATTCTGTCTTTTTTACTAAGTCGTTTTCGATTAGAAAATGTTCAGAAAACCAAAGTATAGTTTAACAATGACACTGACCCGTTTAGTAAACTTCAAGGAATATCAATTAGTTGAAGTTAACATAATACTTAGTGCAATTTATAATGAGACAGAAATTATTCAAACTGGGAATAAAAAACTTAAAATCGACACTTGTGGTACTCCGTTATTAACTTCTTAATGACGAAAATGTTGATTATTATATCCACCACATTCTTTCCTGTCCGTAAGATAGTTTTCAATTAGAGAAACTGAATCATTATTGACTCCAATATAATGTAGCGTAGCAATAAGCAGGAGATGATTGATCATATCAAATGCTAACTAATGCATTAACTAATGCTAACTATTTGCAAAAGTGCTGCAGGTATAATTTGAACGAAATCTTGACTGATAATATATTCATTGGCAATATTTCATACTGACAGATAAGATCTTACTTGTGAGCAGGCAGAATTTTCAAATAAATTTGTATATGTATATTTAATTTAGGTAAAAGCAAAATATTCGCATTAAAAAATTACATGTTGAATATTGGTGAGATTGCAGGACAAGGCATTAATATTACTCAAAAACAAATTCCATTCTATTCTACAACATTTGACGTAATTGAAAGGAAATTTGAATATATTTCATTTTCTAAAACCAACTGAAACCTAAATTCTCCCATGCCATTTACTCGAGAGTAAATATTTATTTTTGCAAGGTCAGCTGTAACATTAGACTTACCTAACTACAACAATTAATAACATGATTATTAATATTATTAACATCCGCAATACGATCGGGAAGCAACGTTCTCTTTTTACCATTATATTCATAAGAATATAAAAGTAAAAAGAAAACAGCCCTTTTAATTCCTGCCACACTGGATTTTCATGTTTTTCACTAATTTGACGTTCTAAAGCTGTGTTAGCTTCATTACTTTGCTTTGTGCCTTAATTGCATCTTCAACTTAATATTATTTGTATGCTACGGAGCTTTTGATTTACATTTTAATACAGTTTTGATTGGACCATAATTTATTATAATATTCCATTGCATCTCTATAAATCTAATTTGATTTAATTTTCCATGTTGCCTTTAATAAAAGCGTTACTACTTCCAGCTAGTACAGCTGTATTACTGATCTCACTCTTCCAACTGTCCGCTCGATTTCCACCAAGATGTATGGCTGCTCAGCTCGCTGGACAGTCAGTATGTGGTATTTTGTCTGCTTCCATACAGGTCCTTACCTTGCTGGCCGCACCCACGGTCAAGGGCACAGCAGGTCTTTACTATGCCATTGCTACAGGGGTGATAACGGCTACAACGATTGCTTACTTGACTGTTTCGAAAAAATCAGAATATTTGCAAAATAAGTTGGAAAATGACCCAGAAGAGGAAGAGGAAGAGGAAGGGGAAGAGACGTCTAGCAAGAAGTTTGATATTGTTAAAATAAAAAGGGTCTTGAGGAAGTTGGCACTGATTCTGGTATCTTTGACTTTGTGTGGGGTTATTACACAGCTTTTGCATCCTGGGCTCACTGCTTTAATAGAGTCTTCAGGAAAAGGGACGAATGTTTGGAGTGGTGAGTACTTCTTTAGATATGATAGCTAGGAAATTGTTAATGAAAACTACTTTCAAAACATTTGTGGTCTCTAAATTATACAGTATTAGTTTGTGTTCACTGTAAAATTCTAATTTCTAATTTCTGTTGCTGATAACAAGATAAATTATCTACAGGGTGATTCATTAACAATGGGAAAGTCGAAAGCTGAAGTACTACACGTGAAATGGTTACCATTGGCGCAAACATGCCTTATCCGAAAGTTGATAGTTCCGGAAATACAGGGTGTTGAAAGTTAAAATTTTAAATTGTATTTTTGCGATTATTCTAAAAATATGTGTGTTAGGAACTTGAAAATTTGTGAAACTATATTTTTTAGGCGTGTTGTAATTTCAGCACTGCTCATAGAGGGCGCCACTTACGACCAATTTTACCGAAAATTTAGTTAATAACTTTTTATTCTGTATATTTAACATGAAACTTGATACAAAACCTGAAAGAGCTATCATTTTTCCATTAATTATGTACTCTTGTTTCATTTCGATATCTCGATCCGTTTTCGAGAAAAATCGATTTAACGAACACTATGTTTTGATAATATGAGAAATTAAAAGCGAAATAAACCACGTGTTTCTTCGTGTTATTACAACAATTAACAATAAAACAAATAAAATACGTAATTATGATTTAAAGTAATTGTTCGAAGAATCCACCGTTGACACTGATATACTTTACAAGTTTTCTGAGAGATCTTCGAGTATGCAATAACATATTGGGACTGCGTCTGACTTCGTTGGCAGCGATTTGTATTCTTTGCCACAACTCTTTACACGAGCCAATAGATTCTTTGTAAACTATATCTTCCATTTGAGACCAAATAGAAAAATCAAGAGTATTGAAGTCCGGACTTCTGGATGGCCAAGCAAAAATGCTTAGACGGCCAATCCAGCGATTTGGAAAAACTGCATCTAAATATGCACGCACTGGCCAAGAAAAATGCGGTGGAGCTCCGTCGTGCATGAACCACATGTCTCTTCTTAAATAAAGTGGAACTTCTTCAAGCCGTGGAAGCATTTTTACTTGGCCACTCAGAAGTCCGGACTTCAATCCTATTCATATTTCTATTTGGAAGAATCTATTGGTTCGTGTGAAGAGTTGTGGCAAAGAATACAAATCGCTGCCAACGAAGTCAAACGCAATCCCAATATGTTGTTTCAAACTCGAAGATTTCTCAGAAAACGTTGTGTAAAGTGTGTAAATGTCAACGGTGGATTCTTCGAATACTGACTTTAAATCATTATTACGAATTTCATTTGTTTTATTGTTAATTGTTGTAATAACACGAAGAAACACTTGGTTTGTTTCGCTTTTAATTTTTCGTATTATCAAAACATAGTAGAGTTGCTTAAAAAAATATAGTTTTACAAATTTTCAAGTTCCTAACCTACATATTGTTATAAAATGTTAACTTTCAACACCCTACATTTCCAAAACTATCAACTTTCGGATGCATGGTTGCGCCAATGGTCACCATTTCACGTGTAGTATCTTCAGCTTTCAATTTTGCCATTGTTAATGAATCACCCTGTACAAGCACTTTTGTTTAAAAACAATTTTGAGTTAATGTAAATTGTAATTTGAATATTTAATTAAGTATTGTTCTTTTTTTCAGATAGCTACTTCTTGCCAGTATGTGTGTTCTTGTTATTTAATACTATGGAATTTATTGGTAGAGAATTGTCCAATCACATCCAATTGGTAGGTAATATTCAACTACTCATTTTTTTTTGAAGAAGCAGTATCTTTATTTAAATTTTAAATTGGGTGTATTTATCAGTTGCTGCAAAATACAGTGTCAAAGTTTTCATGGAGCCAAGGCACAGATTTCTCTTATTTGAAATTGTAACAATTTTGTAAACAGAATTACCTGCAAAATTATTATTCAGATATACGAGTAATTAAATCTGATTTTAATCATAGGCGTCCGGTTTTAAATGCTGGAAGTAGGAGTACCTGAACATTTATTTTTTTTACTTTCACTTAACCCTTTAAAAACTAAGTTAATAGTTAGACAAATTTTTCCTCTTACTTTCTATTTTTTATAAAGATGGTAAACCCTCAAGCTATTTTTTTATCTAGTATAGTTGGCAATAAAAATGTGGCGTAGGAATCTGCATGCCCAGAATTTTTATATTTATTGGAAACATTCACAACAAAAATATACAGGGTGTTCCATCTAAGAAGGATTCTTCAGTAACTCTGTAACTGTCAAATTGATAAAAAATGGTTTTAACAAAAATTGTCTGGAATCATGTAGACCATGTACAGAAAATATTTTTAGCCTTACAGGGCGTTCTATTTCGCGTGGGCCCTACATAACTTTGTTATTTTAAATGGAACACCCTATATATTATTGCATTTATGAATTCCTTGGTTAATATTAGGTAAAGTTTATTAAATGTACATGCTGTTTAAAACTTACCGTTTTCGAGATAATCAGTTGTTTTTCAGCTCTCTAAATGAGGCTAGATAGCGTCTGAATCGTAAGTTAGGAACCTGCAGTTTTCACAGTTCGCTTTGGCATACATTATCTTGTCATGTGTCAGCAAAACGTGTAGCTACGTTATTCAAACTCGGAAATACTGAGACCATGTAACAGCGACAAGAAGACCTTACAAACAATGTTTATTGTACTGTTTGACATACAAAGCAATTTAAAAATCATTCTAGTTTTGATTAACGTTAACGTTGTATTTATTTTACTAAGTAGAGTGTAAAAATTTATTATCATATTTTCAAAATGTCGCTGACGCAGGAAGAAATGATTGGATATGGTTTTTGTCCTCGGTGAGTGCGACAGAAATCCGTTATTGGCATGACGAATTTATACACAGCGCTATCCAGATCGGTGGTGAGATGTTAAACCAAGATGATGAATTTTTTAAACGGGTCATATTCTCCGATGAGGCTACTTTTCATAAAAATGGTTTCGTTACTCGTCATAATTGCCATTATTATTACACAGTAAATCCTCACCAATAGGCATGATGACAGTAACCAAGAATCACTAAAATGATGATTTATCTAATGAAATATGATTCAAGGATTTAAAAAAACGTATTTATTTTTATATTACGAGCTAGATTGATAATATTTTTGATAAAATAACACCAATCAGAGCGAATTACGTCACACCTATGTAAATGTCATTTTGTGTTATTTGTACTTCGACAATATCCGCAGTATTTATCTTCGTTTAAATATTTTGTGTTTCACAACTATCAGTTGCTTAGTTTTGTGTTATCAAAATCATAATCAGGAAACTTTAGGTACTTGAAAAGTTTCTAAAAGAAGGAAAGAAAATAAAGCTCAACAACTGCGAGTTAATAAAATATCAAAAAGACTATGTCTGTGATCAAAAGTTAACCATGCATAAATTGGCGTTCAAATACAAAGAACAGACGTGCTATACATTTTTGAAAAACCTTACTAGGTCAATGGACGAGACCAACATCAAATCTGTTTTTGGCATAAGTTAAGATATGGTAGAGTGACGACTTCAAGAGCGTTTGAATTTAGTCGGTGCAAAACCAATGATGCAATTCTAATTATGTTAATAATGGGAGGAAAAATCTCAGACGCATCGGCCATGAGACGCGATAGAATGTTGGAGGAAAACTGTAAGTACCAGTTTGGGGGGAAAAAATGTGGTATAGTGCTTTGCAAAAACTATCCCACGATAGCAGGATCGCCTGATGGAATCTGTGAAGATAGTATTATTGAAATTAAATGTACCACGAATATGAAAACTTTTAAAAAATTATGTGGAAAAAGGAAAACCGACCCAGAAGTTTTATGTGCAGATGGCAGCTACAACTGTATTTAACAGGGCTTCAATATATTTCGGTGTAGCTGATTGCAACTATAGTACAAATAAAAAAGTAGAAATAATTAATGTTACATTTGATGACAACTATGTTATCAGATTTTATTAATGTTTTAGTCTCTTTATGGAAAGATAATGTGTATCCAATATTATACCAAAGTACAATTTGAGGGTAAATAAAGTACATATACTATTATGGTAACTTTGTATTTTTATTTAACCAATGAATCTTGCAACACAAAATATTAGCACCTTATGTTTACTGTTGGCAAACATAGATGTGACGTCACGTAGACGCCATGACACTGGCGACCGTTTTTGCCTGAATTTAGACTTAAAATTAAAATGTCAATATTTTTCTACTAAACCTTTTATTTTCTACAAAAATAAGATATTTTTTGGAAATAGTAGCCAACACAGATGGTCTTCGAACGTGTGGGGAGCAATTTTGAGAACCATGTCATTGGACTATTCTTTTTTTACCAGCATCTAACTGGAGCAGTTTATTTAAACTTTTTAACAAGAACTCTAGAAGGTTTGTTAGGCGACATTCCTTTAGCTACATTTCGAAGAATGTGGATGCAACATGATGATGCTCCATACCTCACAATGCCGCTACGATTCGTCAGTTTTTACACGAAACTTTTCCCGACAGATTGAGCGCGGGGGAAAAATAAAGTTCTGAACAGACCTCCTATTTAGGTGTCTAAAGAACAAGTTAATTAAACATATTTTTTAAAAAATTGGCTAGGAAACTTATTATTTTTCAAAAAATTTTAACGTAGTCTTGTAAATAGAGAAGCTTTTATTTTAATTTATCTAAACCAACTAAAGACTAACTTTAACATTTTTTTTAGTTGAAAAATAAATATCTCATTTTGGGAACATCTGTTACAAGAGTTATATTATTTCCACTAATACTATTGTGTAACATCCAACCCAGGAACCATTTACCTGTAGTGTTTCACGACGATGTTTATTTTATAATTTTTATGATACTTTTGGCGTTTTCTAATGGATACGTGCAGAATATGGTTATAATCGTGCTGCCAAAGTAAGTTTAATGCCCATCGCATACATGTTTCTGTATTAAAACATAATATTTTATATTTGCAGTTACTGTTCCCGAGAAGATAAAAAAATAAGCATGCTTGCCGTAATGCTTATTATGGTTGTGTTTATGACGTCAGCCTCCATTCTAAGTGGCGTGCTGGTTAGCTTAATTTAAAAATCGCTTAATTATGTACTTGTTTTTTATATTTCTAATTAAATAACTTTATTTATTTTATTATTTATTAAAACTTTTTTTTTTAGTATCTATCTTAAAATTTCCAAGAAGTATCCATAACCTTTTACAAATCCTGAAAAAACAGTACAGCTATAAAAACGAAATGTAAAAAATCAGTAAAATATTTAGGGGGTCCATATCATATCAACGAGTTCATTTCTTGAAAAATTAGTTATTTTTTTAAACTGAAATTCGAAATCTGTAGACATGTATGCTTAAAATTTTCCTCTTTGTGACTAGATAGATGCCGATTTTGTTTTCATGGCCAACTATGATTTTTAATTTTGCTTGGAAATCAAAACTAAGACTTGGATTATAATTTGGAAAAATTATTGGTAATTATTGTTAATTAAATAAATAGTTGGCATACCTATATACATCAATTAAAAACAACAAATTGTTAACATTTGTAAATACATAATCGAAACTAAGCAGATATTTTATTGGGCGCCCGAAAAGTTAATAATAAAATAAAATTTAGTTTAAAAGTTCACACGAAAACTATCAGAATAACCCCACATAATATGTTGGAAAGGTAATTCTATCTGCTTTTCATACTAGCTAATAAAAATAGGCCATTTCGTTTAAAAATTTTTAGTAATTTTTGAATTTACAAACCTAGATCACTCTGTAAAACTAAAGAATAATGACAACACTTATGAGATTTCTAAGAAACTGCAAGACTGTCAATGATTGTTTATGTCGCAGATTCGTTAAAACTACATCAAACTGAGTGTTTACAAATGGCTGCATCGGAGTCTGTTTTCGGATTTATGAGCCTCTACTGGGAAAACGGCAAATCGATACACCCATAAACCCTATATTATCCTGTTGCATTTTGATAGAGCTATCCAAATCCACTCTGTATATTAAATAATAAATATAAAGTGTTGCATTTCCTGTAAAATGTAAAGTTTCATATTAGTTCTCGTCGAAAACGGTAAGAGGTAGCCAAACTGTGTAATGAATAGTTTTTTATGCCTATCTAAATCAACTGAGCATTTTGCGTCAGGCAACATATAACTTTGACAGAACTGTTAAGAAATATGAAAAGAAATTACTTGTCATTGTTATTGTTATCTGAGAATAAGCCTAATAAGTAGCTTATAAATTATCTTTTTAAAACAATAAATCTCCTTGATATGCAAGTACCTAATAAGCCTCAATTCTAATAAACAATAATTATTTTTTTATTTACTAAATTGTTGATGTACGTCAGCAGAAAATTATAACAATGAATAATCCCCAGAATTGTAGCACAATCTGGGACAGTTACAAATTGTGTAAAATTCCATATTTGTTATGATTATTTTTCAATGGGGATGTTTGCCACTTTATCACATATTAAAAAATATGAAAAAATGTGTCAAAAATCGTAGCCTGTGTAATTTTGATCGATTTTTGTAATCTTTTCATAAATGACTAGACTTACAGCAAAAACGTAAATGCCATTTTTATATGAAACTAAATTTCTATAAAAAGCTCTTCATATCTAAGTTAAAATCTCACACAGATAGACCGGGAGATATTAGACTGAAGTTCGACGACGTCTTTCTCGTTTATGCCTCTGAGAGTACTGAAAGG